TTTGTATCGGCTTTTGAAATTGGCAACGTGACCAGATTTGTTTTTCCACTAGAGTGATCTCTTTTTGGATTGAATAAACATAAGGTCAATGATTAGTATTCAGATCGAAGACTACAAAGAACCCCCAAAGTTATATACTAAATATAAACTAGGTGTAGATTTAGTAAACATACTGGAAGAAAACAGCAGGGGTGGGTTTCTACCGGTTCTGTCCACCTCTGTAGAACCGGTAGCTCTGAAGAGCAGCAGACATAGAACTGGTTCTATGTCTGCTGATGTTTTTGCCCGCCCACCCACCCGGGTTCTTACCTGACCTTTATTTCCTGTTTTTTCAACTTCAGTTGCCGTGCGAGGCACAGCTGCAGTTTAAAAAGCAGGAAAAAAGTGCTTTTTGAAAGGCTGCTTCTCTGCACACAGCGTGCTGATGACGATTTACAGGTGTGCGAGTGCAGCGTGCAGGGAAACACATTGTAAATCACTGAACCGGTAGTTAACCCTGTCCGATCCCACCCCTGGAAAACAGTGACAATCCACTTCTGGCCAAGAAAATAAATGAGTATGTATTATAGAAATATCAAACTAAAATAACATTCTGCCATTTCAAAAATGAACATTTAATTTAAGTCACCTTACAGGGGAAATGGGCAGTTTTAACCTTTAATACATAAATAAAGTAAATATTTTAATTCAAATTAGTGCAAATTATACCAAAGCAAACTACAGTTCTGCCCAATTCAGCAGTCTTTTCTCCCAAGAAAGACTTGGTTATAATAGGTAACCATAAGCTTGCTGTAGTTCACAGTAATTGATGACTGAGATCTGATCCTGGAAGTAGTATCAATCTTCATGAATGTAACATGTACAAAGACACAGACACATATATGTTGCATGTGTATTTGCTTGAAATTTAATATTATCAAGTACAGAGGTCACAATATGCCTTCTCTGTTCAACTACAATGTACTCTACTTTCAGCCTGAGCAATGTTATAATCTCAACTTTTTCCTTTATGAAGATCAGTTTTATTCAAATCTTCTAACCACTGTGATATCTGGTAGTCCCATTTTTGCAGGAATCATGGCACACGTGATCCTCTTAAAGGAAGCCAAAATTAAATTAAAAAGATAACTTGTTTTAAAAAATGGTGGAAATTCCACGAGATTGCCAAATCTTATATAATGTTAGTTATATAATGTTTAAAAAGGACCTAAGTCTTGTAAAATCACTATTTTTGCACAACAACTGCAAATTCATTGAAAAAAAGTTTTAGAAAAAAAACATTTTAGAAATGTTGTAAATTTTTGTAGCACCTGTTGTAAGATGTAAAATCAGACAATAATGCCCACCATCTGAAAATATTGCTGGTGTCTGTACAATATAATAGAAAGACAAGATGCTGCTGTGCACCACATCTGAGTACTTTAACATTTAATCTATTCTTGCCTCATACTACTGGCAGTCCCTGTCTCCACATCTTTCAATCATTTGCCACTTGAATCTAACTGAATATATCAGGAAAGGAATCTAACCTTGCAAATTCTATTCTCTCCCACTGAACAATTTACCTTCCCCAGTCATTTTATTTACCAGAGTCATTTTGAAGAAGAAGACTTTTGAGTAGGTGCTATTGAAGATCTGTATGCTGGGAGCAAGACCTCCTGAAGAATAGAGCAGTAGATTTTTTCTTCTGTTCTCCTTGGTATCCTCTTCATCAATATTATACAAATGGCAGATGACTTTCTTTTAGATGAGAAGGACAACAAATAAGAAAAAAAGATATACACAAAACCATATTGCCCAACCATAGCATTGAGCATATTTAAAATATTAAATAAAATTGCCAATCCATTGACAATGAAACCAATTACCTAGTGAGGCATTGGATTTTCCTTCATTGGATTTTTCAAGCAGATAATAGACAGCCAGCTGTCAGAGTACTCTTCCTGACCTATGCGGAAATAAAGCTATGGGACCCTAGAACTCAAAGAAACCTGAAAGAATCACATTCAGAAAGCTTCCTTTAAATAAATATAAACCAAATTTCCCATACATTTTTGTGAGAACTCTCTCCAGTACTTAAGGGTGGTACATAAATGACACTGTAAATGAGGTAACAGGGAGGATTATTTTTTGTTTGTCTCCTTCTTCTGCCATGGAAATGGCTCTATCTTGGCCAATGGCTGCATATAAATTGTGTCCCAACTGTGTTCTGTCTAGTGGAAAAGTGCATATTTGGAAAGCCTTATAGTTGCAAAGTTGTATTTTTGTTTTTTAAAAAAGGAAACTATTTTCTAATCTTTACAGGAATTTTATCCCACAATGGGCAAATTAAGTGTCATAAGTCTTTTCCCTATTCTTGCTGGCTACTTCTCTAGACTTGAGTTAAGCAAATATAAACAAGGTGGGGCATTACTTCTAATAACAATAATAGACAGCAGAAGAGAAGAGAAACAACTGGAGAAAAATCACAAAATACAAAGACTTACAAATATCATGACTGTGAAAAAGAAAGCAAAGATAATGCTGATGATAATAGATGCCTTGGGTAGAATCTCAAAACATCTGGAGCACTATTTGAATACCATCAGCATTTACAAAATCACCATTAGTCAATTGCAAAATGCAACTTTACTTGGAACAACTTATATCTTGTGATGCTGCCTCTAACACCATTAAACAACCACATTTTCCTATCTCAGGTTTTTGGGAATGATTCAATAGATTGATAAAAATGCCAAATCCACTCTAAATATAATAATAGTAATAATAATAACAGACTTCAACATTCACAATGAGTGAAGTTACTGATGTCGGCAATTCAATTTGCAGAAAGTGGGATCTTAGCTGCTCTAAATCCTTGTCTTACAAAGAGAAATGGTTCTTCCTAGGCCTATTGCCATTAATGCATATTGTTATATGTTTGGGATTAGCTGTCAACCCTGGATGAAAACTTACTGCAGCAAATGCTGCAGATGTTTTTTTCTGAATGTTTTTCTTATGCGTCAATACATTAGGAATCACAGCCCACATCTCCACAACTCTGTCTCCTGCATCCTGTTTAAGATCCCTGTTTTCCCCTTGTTGCTGTAGGCAGGAAGTGAATGCTTGCCCTTTGAAAACACAGTGTGAAATGGCAGAATAAAAGGTCCTCAGTACCAACAAAATGGAAAATGGTACATGTCATACCCTCGTTGGAGTCTGATTCTGAGGGGGAGATTGAGCAGCTGACAGGGAGTGGGAATGTGGCTCCAGTGGTTGTGGAAGAAATGGGGGAAGGGCACAGTCCAGCTGGGCCTTTGGAGGAAGACTCAAGGCCACCCCCTCATGGCTTACAGTAGAGAAAGGGGGCCTGATCCCTTTCATTAGTTGCAGCTGGGAGAACAGGATATAAGAAGGGCGTTTGCACACAGCACCTTGCTGGAAGCAAAGCATGCATTATCTTTGTCGAGGCTTATCTGGGTTTTGGTGTCCTCCCAATTGTGTGTGCTTCATTATCATTTGGAAGTCTGCAGTTTATTATCCTGGCCAGTCGTGTTAATTACTTCAGGGTGGTTTGTGTTGGTTTTTTATTTCTAATTTATCTATACTTTGGGTTCGGACTGCATTTCTTCCCTTTCTAGACTGTTTTTGGAAGAGTTTGATCTCCAGCCGAGGATAACTGGACATTGGGGGCCAAGTTGGAGATATTAAAGGAAATTTATCTATTTTTGTGACTTTGTTATCTTTGTGCCATACCCCAGGTTATCACAGTACATGTGGAAAGAGTGGGCAATATGATTACTACTTTTGATCTCCTTTTAAAATTTTTATAAAATCTCGTCTTTATTATTATTTTATAAATAACTCAAAGTGGTGAGCATACCTAATATTCCCTCCTCCTATTTTCCTCACAACAACCCTGTGAGGTGATTTGGGATGAAAGAGAGTGATTGGTCCAAGATCACCAGGCAGCTTTCATGCTTAAGGCAGGAGTAGAACTGACAATGTCCAGGTTTCTCGACTGTTGCCTTGGACACTAGATCAAAATTGATAGCTGAGAGCATTTCTTTAATTTACATTTTATTTGTCATATCCTTTCTATACTTTTATAGATTTAGAAAATTCGCTAAGCAAGTAAAAAAAAACCTATTCTTTATTTCTGGGGATGTTTCTTATTCAAAGTACTTGTACAGAACTAGTCAAGCTGAATGTTATAGAAATAACTACAAAATAATAATTTTATAGAAATAACACATTTTCTTTCATACAAAGAAGAAACCCTTAATTTAATGGACTCATGGGAGAGAAGGGGTGGATCGGTTACAACCAACTGTATAATGGTGCCTGTATGGAATGGTGTTATGTTTGAGTAAAATGGCATTTTGCCTGTGGTTTATGAAGTCTGTGAAACTAGATAGTGACTTTTCTTTTTAAGTTATTGTTAATTGCCATAATTTAAGTTTCTATACAATATATGAAACTGAATGGGAAACTTACTAAGCTCCTCCGTGGAAGATACAGTTTGACTGCTTTAGACTTTGCAGTATCTTTTGTGAAAATATCTGGGTAGCAGGCAAAACTTGAAGTGGACACCTCTGAGAGAAAATACAGAAGTATTATATCATCTCTAAACATGTTTATTTATACCAATGATGTACAAACTTCATGGGGTAAAGGCTGCATCTGGTCTTTGCTCATGTACCCCTATGACTAGAAGTAGTAGGATAAAAACCACATTTTAATCTAACTAAAATGAAATTAAATGTAATTAATATAATGAAGTGACTGTGGTATTTTTCCTCTTGTGTCATGTTACAAATTCTAATATGATTATGCATACATTCTAGGAAGAATGCTCAAGATTTGGGCAAGCAGTATGCAGCCAGTGAAACTTAGACTGTACATCCGTGATGTTTGATATGTAATATAAATGAAAGAGAAACAGAGTAAAAGTTCAAAGTAATGGATGAGAGATGGAGAAATGCAGGAAGGAAGGAAGGAAGGAAGGAAGGAAGGAAGGAAGGAAGGAAGGAAGGAAGGAAGGAAGGAAGGAAGGAAGGAAGGAAG